TCTGTCATGTGAGCCACACCTCCATTTCCATTCTTTTTTAGGATAATTGGAGATAGGAGTCTCTTTATTTCTCTGCCCAGGCTGGCTTTGCACTGCAGTCCTCAGATCTCAGCCTCCTGAGTACTAGGATTGCAGGTGTGAGTCACCGTTGCCAGACTTGCCCATGTATTTTGGTCAGCCAGAATGGGCCTATGGACTGCTGACTCGGGCACTGGCGGAGATCACCAAATCTACGTGGGGGCCGGGGGGCGTGCAGGACAGGAGCACAGCAGAATTTTACCCAGGAGGAAGTAAAGTTGAAGTGGTCTCCCAGTTCAGAAGGGAAAGGTAGCAATCCACCAGATGATGTGCCTGGCACCTGCTCCCCGCGGCCACTAGAGGGCAGAGCGAGGCACAGCTTCCACACTGGCTGTCCTACTTGCATTTTTTTTTTAAATACTACTTTTATTGTCTTTAAGTAGTTGTACAAAGGAGTTACCGTTCAGCACGCCGGGTACCAAGTCTAGTACCTCTGGATCAGCGTCTACCCCCACCCCGGCCCTCGGTTTCCTTAGTTTCACTGGCTGTGCATTTCCCTTCCCCAGACTCAGGTTCTCGGTCTCACAGGCACACCGAGTTGACTTTTAGAAGTCCACCCCCACCTTCCCATGGGCTCTGTATCATAAATTGGAATTCCCAGGGAGTAGTTTCACATCATCAAAATGAAGGCTCATAAATAGAATGAAATGCACACATGTGTTTTGTAAACACATGGGGGCTGGGAAGGTGGCTCAGTGGTAGAGCGCTTGCCTTGCATACATGAGGCCCTGGGTTCGATTCCTCAGCACCACATAAGCAAAAAGAAAAAAGCCAGAAGTGGCGCTGTGGCTCAAGTGGTAGAGTGCTAGGATTGAGCTGAAGAGCTGAGGGACAGCACCCAGGCCCAAAGTTCAGGCCCCACGACCAGACCCCCCAAAAAAACAGTGAACCCCAACACGTAAGCCCCAGTTCTCTTGGTGGGTAGAGGAGAAAGGGTTTGCTTAGATGAGCTTCACGAGACTTTCAAAAACAGGAGGCTGTTGAAGTTTGCACTGTAGGTTTCCTCTTCCTGGCCTGCCGACTCCCTGTGGCTAGTGCAGCCATTTCTCCTTACCTCAAGGACTTTCCCACTGTGATAACGATGAGGGTGATTTGTCTTCAAAACACTCACCTAGGACAGGGATACGCTGCACCCCCTCCCCCCGCCTGGGACTGGTGGCCACTGTGGGGTAGACAGCTGCCCGAATGGCTCCGGACTCGATGGCCCTATCTGGAGGACACAATGGGCCTCCGGAGGGCCCGAGAAACTAGGAGAGCTCCATCTCTATCACAGGGGTCAGTGTCCTGGCGGCCAGCGGAGGCGGGCTGGGAAGGCAGGCGTGGAGGACGCACCATACATTCCTCTCACGGTTCTTAGAGGACTCAGAATCTTAGCAGGAGGCTGCAGGTAGAGGCAGTCCCAAAAGTGTCCAGGTAAAACTTGATCATAGAGATGAGGGCCCTAGAGTGGCCCGTATCATATGGATTGAAAGTAGAACAGGGTCCCTGGGGCTGGGAGGAATGGGGGTGAATGGGGGCGAGTTTCTGTCTAATGGAGTGGTTCTAAAGCCCGGCAGTGGTGGCAGGCGCATCGCGGGAGTGCTGCATACGAAATCATGCGCACACGTTTGATTGTAAGTCTCACGGGGAGCAGGTGCGTGCATACTTTCACACTGGACTTCAGCTCCAGGTCGGCCTTCCCCTGGTTATTTTAGAGTAGCTAGGATCACAGGTGTGTACCCCAAAGCCACCTTTCTGTTGACAAGGAGTCTCGCAGCGTTTCCCGTCCTGCTGGCTTAGCACTGCAGGCCTCCCGATCACCGCCACCCAAGAGGCTAAGACTGAAGTGTAGCCACCTATGCCTGGTGAATTTAATACCGGTCTTTTACAGTACAAAGAGCTAACAGAAGGTCTAAATATGGACTGTGTGAACTGAGGTCCAGGGATTTGCACAAGGTGAGAGAGTCGGATTCAGGTCCGGGAGGATCTACATCTAGAGCTGTTCGGGATATTTTGAATAGCAAACCTTCTCTCTGAAGGAAGAAGCCAGTCAGTCAGGAAAAGGTGAGAAATGCATTTGTGAGAAAGGAGCACTGATTGCTTCTATTAGGCAACCTTCCAGAAGTTTCCTGGACCAGGGCCACTCCACCAGGAGTTAAGTTAGATGCTATTTAGACCACGGCCCCTCGAGGCAGTTGTAGGAGTAGGAAATGCGAAAAGAGAGCAGGTTGGGCACGCTGGCCGTGTGTGGAACCGGGCTGACCACCGCATAAGCCTGTGTGCTCAGCTCTGGGGCTGCCTGGGTGGAGTTGGGTGTAGGCCTTTGACCTGCAAGGAAGCCTGGGTCCTGGCCGACCCCAGCCGCCCTGAGCCGCCGCCCTGCTCGTTTCCTGTCCCCATGCCAAGGGATGGCTCTGCTGGATGCCCACTGTCTCTCGTGGCTCCCTCAATTCCTGGCGGTTCTAGGAATGACGTGCCTGCCACCGTGTGGCAGAGTCTGGTATTGCCCGTGTCCCAGTCCAGCCACCTTCCTGCCTCAGGGATACTGTCTTGGGGGGGGCGGGGGCGCGGGGGGGGGAGTGTCTGGTTGTGAGGGCAAGAAAGGAAACTGGGGGGACCTCTAGCCTTGCCTAGAGATGCTTCTGGAGGCTTCCCGAGCACAGGATGGCCACTCTCATGGTACAGGGGCAGCCGTTTGTGAAGCAGAAGAGGGAGGAGGGTGGGCAGTGCATGAGGACCAGATACTGCCCACGCTCTGGGGGAGCGAAGACCTGGCTGAGCGGGGAAGGACCCTATCAGGCGAGGGGAGGAGACTGAGGAGGAGGCAGGGCTCCCCACGCCCCCCGTACAGTTCCAGAGTGTGGAGGTCAAAGGAGCCCCCTCCTCAGAGCACGGGGGACCTCACGGACAGGAGGGGGAGCGGGAGGCGGCGCCCCTCAGCCGGGCCCGCGCCAGTGGGCGCCAGCACACGTGCCACGCTCTCCAGGGGTGAGGGGAGGCGTGCTTTGGTTTTGGCTGTGGACATTGGAAAGGCTGGGTTGGTTCACTCACATGTTGAACCTGCGGCCCCGGGGTCAAGCCTGGCACGGGTGTTGGCATGAGCTCCAGAACCGCAGAGATGGTGTTAAATCAGCCATGGAGCCTCTCCGCACCTTCAACCTGCTTTGAGCTGCACACATCAAGTCCTGAACCTGGCCTCCCTTGTTAGAAGCGGCTGCGCGCCGCGGCCTCACGCTGCCCACCCTCGGCTGCTGCCCCAGCCCGTGCCGCCCTGCGTCCCTCGGTGGGCACACCACGGTGGGGCGGGGAGGACCCCGGCTCACTCCCTCTCCGTGAGGAGTCTCCTCTGGGCCCGGCAGAGACTCCCAGATCCTTATCCACATGCAGGTTCTGTTTCTGAACACAATTCCAGTCCCGTGCCAGGTTCCGTTCTGGAAACAGAAAGTGCTGGAAGGATTTCAGGCAGGATGCATTTTACAGAGATTTCCATGTTCCCGGGATCATCAAGAGGGTTGGGGAAAGCGCACCTGAGCCTTCAGTAGACGGAGAACTTACACAGACCACCGGAACTGGCCGCGTGAGCCTTGCATCACCGGCAGGCTGGACGCCAGTGACTGTCCGGAGGAGCGTGCGCCCGTGCTGCTCGTGCTGCCCGTGCCCTCGTTCCCTGGTCCCCTGTGGGTGGGTCTCGCTGGCGGGGGAGGCGGGACGCGTGGCAGTGTCCCTCACCGCCTCTTCGGTCCCCAGGCCAGCGGAGGATGGCAGGATCAGGATGCCAGCTGACACTCACCTCTAAATATGGAGATAAGAATAGGACTTCCTTCCTGAGGCTCCTGCAAGCTGGAATTAACATGCACGGAGTCTTCGCACAGAGCGCACAGAGCAGCACGTGCCACGCCCTGGATAATTACTAGCTTACCAAACAAAACCCAGAATGCATGCATTCTTATCTCTAATCCTTGCGAGCAGTCTGGCCGCCTCTCAGCTTCCTTGGTGAGGGTCTCTCCTCACCACCCCCGCCATGCTTGGCTTGAGGATCCTGAGTCCGCCTCATTCTGGCTCAGAGGGCTGAGCAGAGAGAGAGGGCAAAGGAGAAGCCCCACGCACTGGTTCAGGCTGAGTCTGGCGTTGGCTTCGCTGGCTTCGCTGGCTTCGCTGCCTGTGGACAGGAGCGCATCCTCTCAGAGGCCCGGCCTAGCGTGGCAGCTCCCAGCTCCCCAGCCCTGCGCCCGGCGCAGCCAACGGCGGGGCTGCATCTCTGTCACCTATGTTCCAATGCCCTTGCAGTCTGCAGGGAGAAAGAATGGGGACACAGCAGACGCCCCACAGGGACAAGAAAAGGCCAGATCCCAGGGGAGCAGGTCTAGTTCCTACTCCATCTCCCGCCCCACATGTCCCCGCTCCCCTCCCCCACGTCGTGCCCACGACCAGCTTCCTCCCCTGGCAGCAGATGCCACCAGACTTCCACCCGGTCACAGCTGGGGAGAGAAGCCCTGGCCTGACAGGCCCTGGGCCGGGAGCTCAGGGCACAGACTCCAGCTCTCGGGTAGAGGAGCAGGGCCTGCTCCCCAAAGCCACAGGAGGCGTCACCTGAGGGCTGGGGGAGAGGGAAGGCCCGCAGCTCCCTGCCCGTGCCTCCCCTGCCCAAGCAGCGCCCAGACCTGCCCTTCCCTGCAGAGCCTGGGCACGCACGCCCCAGGGCTCAGGCCGGGGCCACAACACCAGCAGCAGCAGCACGACGCCGGGAGCTGCGAATGAAGTACAGAGTTAAAACCCATCCCTTCCAACCCCAGCCCACCGCCGCAGTGGAGATGACGCCCAAGGGAGACGGTGCACCCTGCAAGCCGCCGTCCCCCGCTCGGCGCCCACCTGTCGCCTGTCCTCCCGGAGCCGCAGGTCAGCATGGTCCCGAAATGAGTCTGTCCCTCCTTGTGTCCCCGCAGGTTCTCTCGGAGCACGGCTTCGGGCCCATCACCACGGACATCCGCGTGGGGCAGGCCTTCTACTACGCCGAGGACTACCATCAGCAGTACCTGAGCAAGAACCCCCGCGGCTACTGCGGCCTGGGCGGCACCGGCCTCTCCTGTCCACTGGGCATCAAACAATAACTGCCACATGTTGCGAGGTGGACCCTGGGGCGTCAGCACAAACGCCGCCGCCCAGTGGGACCAAGGCTTCCGGGGTTCACCTCGGTGGCTTTTGCAGTTCACGTATCACAGAGACAATCAAACAAATCCAGTTTGCACAGAGGTTTGATTCAAGGGAAGTACAACAGCCAGCTGACCCAATGTAATTTGTCTTCTAGTACGGGTTGGGGAGGAGCATGGAATTTTCTGGATCACTTGGGGTCTAGCTGGAGATGATGAATAGCTTGTGACTGTGTTTCTGGTCACGGATGCCAAGGGAGGCGCTGGGGACAGCGGCGGGGTGCCGCCGCACTGGCGTCCTCGCCCCCCACCTGCCCCCAGTGCCTTATAATCTGCGAATGTTTACAGTTTTGATTAATCACTCAAAGAAATGATAGGAAAAGGGTCACTCTGGCCCTTCCCAGCCCTCTTTGTGCAGCGAAAAGATGCAGGTTACCGTAATGAATTCAGTGCTTTGCTCACAGCTACGAGAAATGCTTGTTCTGTTAATACCAATGATAATAAAGATCTGCGGTTATAGCATTCCAGCGGCTCGGAGTCTGTGTTCCGCGGTGTGGGAAGGATGCTCCTGTGCACGGCAGAGGATGGGAAGCGCTCTGAGGGGGAGGGGCTTGTCATGCCTCCCCCAAGGGAAATACCAAGATGGAATATTATGGGAAACATACGCGGTTTACCCGCGCTTAAGGTCAGGGCTGACAGGTGCGTTCCAGGCCCTTGTCACTGGGATGATCTAAGGGACAGTTGTTCTTAGAATGAACACCTTCCTCTCTGCCCTGTAGAACCTTCTACTCAAGACCAAGAGTTGGAGCCATAAACATGTAAACAAATGGATAAACAAGCCGGCTCCATGTCCTGCTGGCCCTCAGAAGGCTGAGGGGGGGGAGGGGGCCGGGGGCCGAGCCTGCGTGCGGGGCCGTCTCAGCCGGCCTAGGCCTGGGAAGGCATCCACACCGCGGTGAACTTGGGAGTGGAGGACGACATGGCTAAGGTGGCCGGCGGCTGAGGACGCGTGCGCAGGGGACAGAGCCGCCACCAGCTGTCGGCCAGACCTCCGCTGGGGAAGGCAAAGCTGCCCAGTACTGTGTTCATGGACCAGAAGGTCATCTGCTGTGTAAGTGTTTGGTGTATTTCATGTGTATTTTGCTTTTGTTGGCAGTGTGTTTTGTAAGTGCCAATCAAGCCACGTTGGTGAATGGTGTTATGTGCACCTTCATTATCCTTCCCAACGTTCTCTCTCCTGACTCACTGATTAAGAAAGACGTGTTGAGCCAGACACCAGGGACGCACACCAGTAGCAGAATGGAAGATCACGGCTTGAGCCTAGTGAGGGTAGAAGAGTTTGAGATGCCTTTAACCCCAGTTGGGTGCGTCGGCATGCGCCTGTCATCCTAGCCACGCAGGAGGCAGCGATTGGAAGAATCACCATCCCAGAACAGCCCAGGCAGAAATGCTCACGAGATCCCTGTCAGCTTTGAGCTGGTCCCAGTGGTACGTGCCGGTCAGCCAAAGCTATTGAGAGACTGAGATCGGGAGGATCGTGGTTTGAAGCCAGTCTGAGCAAAACAGTTTGAGAGACTTCATCTCCACAGAGGCAGCGACGTGCACCTGTCATCCCAGACACAGAGGAAAACCTTAAGTAGGTGAATTGTGGTTCAGGTACACATGTGATAGGAAGTAAGGTCCCATCTTTAAAAGCACCAGCAGAAAGCAGGGTTGGAGGCATGGCTCAGTGGTAGAGAACCTTCTTAGCAAACATGAGTCCTGGAGTTCAAACCCAGTTCTACTAAAAGAAAAAAGAGAAAGGTAAAATCTCCAACTACAATTGTCGACTTGTCTATTTCTCATATGGTTTTAGTAGTTCTTGTTTCATATACTTGGAAATTCTGCCACCAGGTAGATAAACAGTTAAGATATGCATAATTCTTTGAGGAATTGACCCTTTATTATATGACCCTCTGTATCCTTTATAATATACTTTGTTCTAAAATCCTCTGTCTTATATTTATATCATCACTGCAGCTTTCTTGAGATTAGTTTTCACATGATACGCAGTTGTTCATCTTTTTACAGCTTGTTAATTTGTATCTATATTTAAAGTGAGTTTGTGCATAGCATATCGTGTGCCAGGCTTTTCTGTCCAATCTGACAGCTCCTTGCCTTTACCTGGGTTGTGGAGACCATTTACATTTATCGATGACTTTTGTAGTTTAACTTCCATCTCCCCTGTGACAGTTTTGTTCAGTTCGACTTCTGTCTTTCATGTGGCTATTTTGGTATTTGTTCTTTGTTCGCCTTTTACTATTTTTCTCCCTTCTTTCAGGAACACAGGATTCTATTGTCTCCTTTGTTGGCTTATAGGCTATACTTCTTTGTTGTACATTACTGTTTTGCTGCGAGTAGCCAGTTATGTGATTAAAATAAATAATAAGGAAAACAATTTTTCATTTAAATATACAGCTAAAATGTCTGGTGTCCTTCCGTCCTCTGCTGCCTCCCCCCGCCATGTTCTGTTTGTCTTAGAAATCTTCATTCCGCCTTTGTTTATCATACATGTTTTTGCTGAACATGGCCTTCTAAGTTGACCACTTTTTCCTTTCAGTAATTAAAATTTTTGATTCCATTCTTGTTTCTTTCCCTTTTGGCTGGCATGGCTTCTAATGAAAAATCCACTGGTATCCTAATCTTTGTTGCTCTGACACGATGTGCACAGATTTTTTTTTCCACCCATCTGCCTGCTTTTACAATTCTCTCTTAATGAAGTAATTTGATTACTCTGGGTAAAACTGTGTGGCCACAAAATTATACAACCGAATCCTAGTCCCTGGTGCTGGCAAGAATGGGATGAGGTTACACACACACACACACACACACACACACACACACACACACGTAAGTCAGGGTCACACAGAAAGAAGGTCCTGCAAGGGTCCAGGTAGAGATTAGAGTGATGTGGCTACAAGCCAAGCATCACCGAGGACTGCTGGAACAGCTGGAATTCTGACTCAAGTGTATAGCAAGGCAAGGAAGGACCCTTCCCTTGGAGGTTCCAGAAAGAGCATGGCTCTGGTGACATCTGCTTCCACCCCTCGTATCTATAAACTGTGAGAGACCAAATGCGCATTATTGGAAACGAACCACCCCTTCCCCCCTCCCCCACCCGACCCCCACTTAGGGTGGTTGGTTACAATGGCCTTTGGAAGTTTACCTCTTCCTGCTCATCTCCTGAGCATCCACCAGGACATGAGGATGACAAGTCATTCATTTCTTTATATGTTTACTGGCCCCGATCTGCATGTGTGTCCTTGTTACCTGGTTTCAGGACTTTCAACCCAGAGGGTGCACGGAGGCTCATAATTCCGTGGGGATGCTCCGATGCCCTGCACTAAGGGAGGACGCTGTCTGTGGGGAAAGCGCCAGCGTTCTTAGAAGGCCTCCATTCTGTGCTCTGAACAGTCAGCCAGGGTGTCGCTGGTTCCTCTTTGAAGACCGGAGGCCACGACCTGCCCTTAGCTCTCCGTCCCAGATGGAGTCGCCGAAATTAGAGCATTAGAGCTTTGTCATCCTGTGCTCAAACACCCTAGCTGACTCGCAACGAGACAGAATTAGGGCATCGCTCAAATAAAGAAGTGGAAAAAGAAATCGGCTAAAATCCATAGGGAGAGCTTGCTATTTCTTTATCTGTCTTCTGTCCCAAATAGCTCAGCTCTCCTCCCTCAGTTTGTGTTAATGTGTTACATTTCTCTCTCTGGCAGCAAATGCCACCAGACTGATGTCCTAAAGTAGGTCACGTAGATGGTGATGAATTGAAACAGCCCCTCCAGCTACATTGCTCTGTGACCTCGCTCCTTCCCCGTCCCCTGACCTGATTTCTGCAGCCCCTCGGGGTGGCCTGGGTCACCCCAACCAGAAGGGCTCGGGCAGTTTGCCCTTCAGCTCCCGGGTTCTCAGCCCTTCTAGCTGGAAGGAGACTGTCGAGTCGTCCTTGACTGTCCTCAGCCTTTTTACCTCTCCCCAAGTCCTCTCATTCTCATTCCTCTCCAGCGCTTATGAAATAGCTTCATAAGGTCATGATCATTTGGCCCAGCATCCAGAAAGCCAGCCTTGTCTTCTAGAATGTCCACTGCACTGAAGCCTGTTTCAAACAGACAAGATCCAGGCCAGGGCTCCCCAGGCAAACACGGTAGCATTGCTGTTCTGCGTAGAGAATAGGTCTGGGGTCAAACAAACCAAGGAAGAGACCAAGAGGAATTAGTGTCAGACATAAAGAGACAGAAAGGATTCTCATGTGGACAGTAACTAAGGGGGAAATGCCTGCTGAGTGTGGACAGCTCCACCCAACATGCTGGGGCACAGGTGGCTCACGCCTGTCATCCTAGCTACTCAGGAGGCTGAGATCTGACGATCATGGTTCAAAGCCAGCCTGGGCAGGAAGTCTGTGAGACTCTCATCTCCAATTAACTGCCAAAGAAGCTGGAAGTGGAGCTGTGGCTCAAGTTGTAGACCGGTAGCATTGACATAATGAAATAGGTCAATGAAATAGCTCAGGGATGGTGCCTAGGCCCCAAGTTCAAGCCCCGGGACTGGTGAAATAAAAAAAAAACTAGAAGGGGAAAGCATTCTGTGCATGCAAGTTTCACTCTTCCTGAGTAAGCACGTCTGCTGCCGCCATGGGGCATGGACATCAGACTCCAGCATCTTTGGCCTTTCAACAAGGACTCACAACAGCAACGCTCCAGGCTGGTTTCCAGGCCTTCAGCCTCAGACTAGACCTGGATCCCTGGCTCCCTTCTTTGGAGGCTTCCAGCCTCTTAGACTGAGCAGCTACCAGATTCTTGGCTCCCTAGCATGCAGGCAGCCACTATGGATGCCAATTTAATCTCTCGTGTTCCTCTCTTCCCTCTCACCCACCCTCTCTCTCCCTCTCCCCTCCCTTTCTCCACCTATCTACCTGGATTCTGGTTCTGCTTCTCCAGGGAACTCTGACAATTATGGTGGATGAAGACGTTCTAGGGAACTTTCTAGGAACCAAGTTGGTGGCTATCAGGAGAAAAGTTAAAGATGAAGGGAGAGAGGAGTTGAAGGGTCTCATATTTCATGAGTCATCTGCCCCTTTGGAGGATAAAGGCAGTTGAGGAGAGGTTCCTGTTTGTAGGAGAGGAATGGATGGACTTCCGCCCCAGAGTCCCTGGCCAGCTCCTCCCTCCATCCTTGGAAAAGACTAGACAGGCTTCCATGTTCTAAGCAAGTGAACAGGCCATGCAGCAAGCCCAGAATATGTTGTACATCCTCTGATAGCTAAGTGATTGGTTTAGGTGCAGAAAATGGTGGAGAATTACTCCTTATATTTTGCTCCCACCCTATCTTTATTTCACAAACTGAGGAGGTCACTTGGTTCCAGAGATGAGACAGTGTTTAATCACCCAGGCCAAAAAAGCACCACAGAATATAGGAATAAGGTGGCCCAAGGTGAGAGAACCAAGCAGCACCCCGAGTCTGGCTCGTGTGCATAAGGTTTTCCCGCTTGAGTCGTTTCTTGGTTAATCCATAGCAGATAATTGGACACCTTTGTATAAATCCCAGGGATGTTTTTCTTGCCGCAGTCTATGCCCCAGCTGACAATGCCCATCTGGTACCACCTGGTTTTGTTCTTCTTTTTGTGACAAACTAGAGGCCCTCCACTGTCACCCTAGGGGAGAAAAGTTGAGGATGGAAAGGAAGTCACAAATGACGCCCAGCGCACTGAGGCTCAGCCATCTTGACTGTGGGCTTTGGTTCTTGGCTTCAGCCACATGACTGTGAGTATAGGAAAGACAGCCAACAATTTGGTACAGATCAATGTGATGAAGGACAATTGTATCCAAACGACTCTCCGCCTCTGCATCAGCTCTTGTACATTGGTTTTGATAGATTAAGAAGTGGTCTTCACCTTTGCTTTTAAGTACTTTGGTTATTAGAATTCTTAGAAGTTGCTCCTGTCTTTTTACCTCAAATCCCTTTCTACTAGCTCATTTTTCTTTTTCAGAATTGTTTACAATAGTAAAGTAATAAAAAAAACAAAGGCAGAAATCCATTCTTCCCCATAATAGGTACTGGGTTTCATATTCAAAGTACATCAATGATCTATACCAAATGAAACAAAAGAGTACTAAAATGTTTAAATATGTGTGGTTTAAAACACTGAATTTTAAGACATCATGAAAAACATTGCCAAATTAACCCAAGTAAGCAGAGAGGACATAATTGGCACGAAAATTGGAACAGGTAAGTCTCAGCCTGTCAACCTCACTTTCCAGATTTGAACACTTGTTTTCACTGGAAAGAGATGGTATGTCTCTGTTATAATTCTGGCTTTGTGCTAGTATGTTCTTACAAGGCTTCTCGCTTCACTGAGGCTTAGTTTCCCCATCTGAATGGTCCATCGTATGGAGCATCAAGAACTGGTCAAGAAAACAACATAGGTGACACTTTTCTTCTCTCTGACACAAGACTTTGTGGACATGAACTTGATTCTCACAACAGCTCTGGAAAAGAGGAACCCTTAGAGCTCCCATTGTATGGTCAGGGGCATTGGAAAAGGCCCAAGCATAAGTGTCTGGTTCTCACTCAGGTCACGCAGTGACACGGGAGGGAAGCCAGGTCATTGAACTAAGAGTTTGTGTCTCTAACAACATCAGAGACCCAAACATCTGTTCTTAGAAGATCTTATAGAATATCTGCACTGAGCTGAACAACATCCTCCCAAAATTCATGTCTACTCGGAGCCTCACAATGTGGCCTAATTTAGAATCAGGGTCTTTGCAGATGTCATTAGTTAAATGAAGATGTAGTCATCCTGAATTAGAGTGGGCCCTCATCTAATAGCTACAGTCATTATTATTAGAAAACAAGTAAGGGCGAAAGCAGAGGGCAAGAAAGGCGCCTACAAGCCAGGGAGGCTTCTGCGGGGAGTTAGGAGCAGTGGGGAATTACCCCCCCCATCCCACTTCAAGCCTGGGGAAAGAACAGGACCCTGCTCGTATGTCTTAAGGCTCCAGAACCGTGGGAGAATCCTTCACATTTTTTAAAGCTATTGCATGTGTGGCCATGGGTTCCAGCAGCCCAGGGAACTGCTGCGGCATCTTGCTCGGAGTGGGGGGGGGGATGGGGGCCAGAGGGGATGGGGGCCAGGGGGGATGGGGGCCAGGGGGGATGGGGGCTAGGGGGGATGGGGGGAGTCCCCTCCCCCAGCAGAACACAGCATTACCTGACAGGCATCCTTCCCGCCTTCAGGACTCCCAGCACACAGCATGTTCCTGGTGATAAGAGGCAAAATATGGAAGCACTCGCTCCATTCCACCAGCTGGAGGTTGACTTTGCGCAGCTTTGGAGATGTGAAACTCGTGGGGTCTGCCCCTGAGGAGAGTGTGTGGCGATGCAGCTGAGCCCGAGGGGTCCTGTTAGGGTGACCTCAAGTACCCCTTCCCCTTCCAGGAGCCCCCATTTGTATTAGGGGCTTTGCTATGACCCAGAGAACAATCAAACTTTGGACTGAGTGGGGAGAAGAGGATCTAGAAGACTCAAGTCTCCTGAGGAGCAAGAGCTTCCGAGGACTGGGTTCTTGATCATCTCTGCCAGGATGGGTAAGTCAGCTGGTCCTGGTTCAAACTCATGAGAATGTTAGGAGAAGCCGGGGCCAGAGATGGGCTTGAGTCATGTCAACTCCCCAAGGAGCTCCCTGAGCAGGCACCGGCTCCCACCTCTAGATCCCACCGCCCGGCAAGACTCAGATGATTGCCGGGGGTGGCTGTATTCAGTGTCTAGCGTAGAAGAGGCTGGGTGGGGATGTGTCAGATGGACTTGGAGGAACTCTGAGTGAGGTAGGTTTCTGTTTTCTTCACAGTTCATGCAGAGCTTTCCCAGGGGGACCAAACCAACTCTGGCTTCAGTGGTCAGCCAGGTAGGTGTGCTCCTGAAATGTACTTTTCCTGTGTGTTTGTTTTTTTTTAAGTTATGAGCAAGACACATTTACTAAGAACAAAGATGGAAGGGATTACTCTGTAGGGCTGGCTGGGAAGGAGTCTGGGAGCAGATTGAAGGTCAGTTTCATCAGGAAAAATTTATATTCCATTCAGCTTTGCACCTTGACCAGGACCTGTGGTTTTCAAATATTCTAGTTTCAGAGTCCTTTGTCACAGGAGAGCGGAGCTGACGCAATGGATCAGGGAAGGACTGCCGCCGTGAGCGCTGGGAACCTCCTGGGGCTGCTCCCCAGTCTGTGTCCCTCAGAATTCCTCCAGTCACCCCTCAGGCCTGATGGCATCTGCCTCGACTGGCCCTGAGCTCTGTCTATAGTTCAGCTTCTGCCCTGTGGGGCCATGACTTGCTACAGGAGCCCAGAGACCCCCAACTTTCTCAATCCTCATGGTGTCTGGTCCAGAAAAGCTTCTAGAATTGGCTTCTGATTCCAAACACTAGCCAGGTGCACCACACCTCCCCCTCTCCCTGTGAATCTCCCCCTCCCCCCCCGCCCCAAGTGACTCACCCGTGGTACCCCATCCAGCCACCCAGCAGCTGCTCCACTTCTCCAGGCTGGTGACTTCGGTGAGGCATATGGGGATCCTTTTGACCCCCAGGGGTAACGGGGCCTTGAGCAAGACCAAAGCTATGTCATTGTCCATGAGCCAGTCATTAAAAAGGGGGTGTATAATTAGCTTGTCCACTTTCTCCTTCTTCTGATCCTTGGTATTTAAGTCGTCTATGCCATGTATGATCTCCAAGTTAGAGCTTATTTCAAAGATTCAAGGAGAGAAAAAGGTTAAGTGGTAGAAGGGCAGACGGTGATCATGCTGCCAGCGTGTGGCTGTAACCACACACTGGGGTGGCGGGGAGGGGGGTTCGGCTACACATTCAGATCTGAGTTCTCATTACTTAGCAGCTCCTGGCCTGACAGTGTCCACTGGTCAACCCAGCATTTGGGAAGCAGTTCCACACTCAAGTCACAAGGTGCTGACCTCGATTTGCAAGAAGAGCTGGCCTGTCTCCAAGGGGTGGCTCAGTGCTCGTGACCCATGGACCCTGGCACACACTGTAGCTTGTGATGTGCAGCCAGGGCTGAGCCCTCGGGTCCCTGGGGCCCCAAGAACTCCCCGATTCTCTGGCCGTGGTCAGCCACCATCGCGCTCAGAGAGACCAAATACTGAGGGGCATGCATTCTTGTTCGCCGGCTTTTGAAACAGAAGTCTCACCTGGCGTGGGTCTCCCTATGTTGCCCATGCAAGCCGGCCTTCCCTCAGCTTTCAGAATGCTAGGGTGACAGGCCCGTGTCGTGAACTGGGTGTGTGGAGGGCCATCTATTCTGCAGTTCAGGTCACGAGTGCGACGTGAGCCGTCACAGGGGGAGAGCCGCTGGCCTCCGGCCTGCTCAGCGGGGTTGTCAGCCAGGTGGGCCTGCAGCAGCCGCCCAGCCCCGAGCTCCACAGCCCAGAACCCCTGCCGCCTTCGCAGGGCCAGTGGGGCAAAGGCCCTACCCATGCAGACCAACCCAAGGGACTCACATGTTGATTCTTTGGAAGCAGTGGGCTGCCGTTAGAATCCACCACTCGTTGAGAATCGCGCCTCCGCACAGGTGATTCCCTTGGGTGAGAATGCCCACCTGCCACGGGAAATCGGCAATGTTTGCAGGCTGCCCACCTACGATGGCGGTCACGATGCTCTCCTCCGACTTGGCATTTCTCTTCTCGCCACATTTGACTGGAAGCAAACAGGAAGAGGAGGGAGAATGCGGGAGCCCACCAGGCTTGTAAGAAACTTAAGTCCGAGCTCAGCAGTGCTGAGCGAGTGGACAAGGGCAGGGGCCCCACCGGACAAGTCAGTTCCCACCACAGTCCCCCCAAAGACCGGCCGCGTGGGGCATGTCTTCACCGTTGCTTTTCGGGCCTGAGGAGGGAGACTCAGCCCCAGGGCTGGGCCACACCCTGCTATTGCTTGTTACGTCCAACCGTGGTCAGGTGTCCTGGCACCCACCACAAACCTCTCTCCTCAGCTCGGCATGCCTTCCAAGGCTTTCGCATGGGAGCGCCCCCAGCTGTGAGCCTCTCCCGCAAAGAGCCCCTTCTGTCCCCTGCCTCCACTCCCCACCTGCACGCCTCTCATGATCAGTGGCACCGAATTTCATCCCGTTTTAATTCTAGAATATTCCCACTCTCACTGTGAGAATAAGGTGTTGGCATTTTTTTTTATGTGACAGGGTTCTTCTAACATATTTCTGATATGCTTTGAATAAAGACAAAAGTAAATCCTACTCTTCTCTCAGGAAAGCACCGTATTTTGTACTTCTGGTCCAACCTCTTCAGCCACATTCCCAGCGCAGCACCCACTACCACACCCTGGCCACACAACCCACACCAACCCCACAAGCCCACCACAAACCCCACCGCCACAGCCTCCTCCATACCACCCCACCACCAACCACCCCCTGCCACACACCCCACCAGACTGAACAGCCCACGCCGCCCACACTGCACCCCACAGCCCACACCCACCTCATCACAGATGCGCCCCCAGCGCCCTCACACGCCCCACCCCCTCCCACCGCCAGTCCTGCTGCCACCTCTCTCTGCTCTTCCGCTTCTCTCCCAACATGGCTTGGCCCTTCAGGTCCCCAGAAATGGCCGGTCCTTTTCTGCGCTGGATTCCTCCCCTGCCCCCATTCTGATCTGTGCCCCTCTCTGTTTCAATTTCTGTGTGTCCCTCGCCCCTTAGCTCAGTTACAAAGTCAGTCGAGAACTCTCCCTCGCCTCCTATGCTCTCGGGATGCCTGCCTTATTAGACTTTCTGCTTTCCCGTTGGAACACTGGTGACGGCCGGTAGTGAAACATATGTGTGGCTGTTAAAGTGTCTTTCCTCCACTACAGTATAATCTCTGTGAGGGCAAGGATTGTGGAATAATGAAATTATATCTGCATCACTCAGCTTAATGGCTGGCACATGGGAGGAACCCAGCTCATGCTTACCAAATAAATGGGTGCATAGATGGATGGACAGATGGACAATAAAGATGCTGACATCAATGGAAACAAAGAAAAGAAAAGGACCCCTTGGCTCCTGCCTGCAGAGGCAATCCGGAAATTGCAGAGCCTCGGTTCAAAGGCATTTGCGCTTTGGCTTCCTAAGTGAGAAAGCGTGGGACGGGAAGGCGTGGCCTCGAGAGGCGGCGCTCACAGGAAGTGGGGCTCTTTCCCGGGAAAGCCACGCATCGCAAGGCACGTGCAGCCTGATCTCAAACTGCCGGAACTTTCCAGGGGAAACTTGGAATCACTAGACAGCAAAGCATTGGTGGTCTCGGAGGAAAATTTTAAGTGCTTAATTAAAATGATAATTTGTGAATGTTTAAACAAAATTACCAATAATGGATTTCACCATTAGTCAGCCCCGTGGTATTAGTCCCCGTTCTCCTCTTGAAATGTAAGGAGAGTAGCTGCCCCTCTGAGGGACCCGGGCCTGCTCGCCACCACTCAGCTCCTACGAAGCAAGAGGGTCTTCACAGCCAGCTGGACCTGTCAAAGGCACAAAGGCTTTCCCCTCGCTCGCAGCTGCCACCGCCCGTCCATCAGCAAGGCCTCTGCTCTACCTTTGCTAATCTTACTTGGCTGAAATGATGCCATGTGGTTTGAATGAGCGAGGGTGCTTCAGTGAACTGAAAACAGCTGGAGACATTCATTGGGTCCATGTCCACGTAGGAGAGGAACGCTTCCGAGGGCCAAGGCAGGGAGAAGGATTCACCTCCAGAGCCAGGTCCGATCAGAGATGGTGGTGAGGTCAAGTGTGGAGGTGCCTCTGAGCTCACCGGAAGAGCTCTGAGATCCGCCTGCAATTCCTCCTGGAAGCTGGAGTGCTGCCTTCCTGTTGGTTTGTCATTGGGATAATCAAGGCACAGGAGCTCCGAGGATGATGACCTCAAGTGTAAATGTCAAAGGTCATCTGAAGTCTTCGGAGGAAAGCGACCATGCCTGTTGAGAACAGAGTGAGAATCCACACGGCACCCTGCCGAGTGCAGCCAGACAGGAATCCCGGACCTGCCGTGTGCGTGTCACCACGGAGAAGGGATGGACAGAAAGGCTGGCTGCGAGGCGAGGGCTAGCTCCACTTCATCCCAGGTCTCTCTGGAGCGACGGTCAGACTGAGCCTCAAGCTGCAGGGACGGCATGGCCCACAGCCGCTCGGAGGCCGGGGCCAGCTCAGAGGGAAGCTCGGACAGCTCGGACACCTGAAGGACTTTCCTGACGACAGAGACAGGCTGTCCAGAGCCTTCTAACCCAGGTTAGAAACCACAGGTATGAAAGTCTTAATTTCCATTCCACTATATCATAACTCATCTTGTCAGAAATGCCACAGCACTGGGCAGACTCAGAGCTACAGAGTTTTGAAATTTCAGGGTCTCTGTGGGGATCCAGAGAATGTGTATGTTCCTCACTATCAAAGAACTTTGGGGTGCATCCCAACAGTGGGCTGTTACTCTACAACCTTGTTTTATCACCTATAAAATGGGGTTCGGTTGAATCTCTCCAAGCCTCTTTCCAACTTTCACTTGGAAAGTGAAGGTTCAAAAGTTCGAATTGCTGAGGGGAAACATTGCTTTTTTAAAACACATTACTATAAGGCATAGCTATATTTACTTAAGTTCTTATTTTCAAATACTGACACGGACTTTACCTTCCCACTCTTAATCTTCCCAAGAGTTGGGTGGTTTCTATTACAACATGTTAGGTCTCCTGTGGGTATTGATAACAGCATGCAATGGCCACGTCATTTGTGTGTGAATTTATTTATCTGAAAAGTCACAGGGAAGTAGAAAATACTCCTCCATACTTTTATATGATGGGGAGCCCAGGTTTGTGGGAAATGATGTCGAATTAGAGCTGGCTTGGAAACTGAGATCTATGGCTATGACTTCCAGGCGCGCCCCCTGGGGTCTGATGAGCTTACATATTTGACAGATAGAGAAACTAATGAAGCATGGTTCCACCGGCACCCTAAGGAATCCCTAAACAATGCATCGGGTGCTTACAGGTCCTCCTGGAATCAAGTCCCTTTGGATTCTAGAGTTTTCCAAAGTGACAGACTGATTCTGACCCAGGGATACCACCAATTATATTCAGACAAGGCAATCTTACTTCGGGTTGGTTTTTCCTTGCTTCTCTGCCTTGAGCTCTTGAGATGTCTCAGAAATTCTCTTCCTCTTGGAGATCGGCGGATATGCTGGTGACTGGGAGCAGAATGAGTGCGCACGAGGGAGGTGGAACTCAAGTCTGCTCTGGGCACTGGGCTCTGGTGGGGAAAGTGTCTGGGGTGCTCTTGTTGGCAGCGTCCCTAGGGGCCTGGAAGGGGGTGGGGGTAGGACCGGAAGCCCAGGGTTCTGAGCTGGCTACATTGTTTGCAAGCTGTGTGATGGCACCATTGATTCTCCCTGTCTGGCCTTTGGTGTCTTCATCTTTCATTCAAAGACAAATACAAACCCTGTCATCTGCCTGTTTTTTTTTTTTAATGTCGCTCTGATTTAGGGGGATGGATTCCATTTGGAGAGGAGAAGGAAGTCTGGGACTCAGTCGGGGTCATCTCCGGCCAGACCTTTCTCTGGAGCAAGGTGCAGCTGAGCTTCTGCTCCATCTCAGATTCTTGCTCAATCCTTGTCTCCTTCCATACCCACTGTCCCCACCCTCAGACCCCATCTCTCTCCACACTCTGGCTGGGACATCTGATCTCAGGCCATGGCTTGAACAGTTCTTTTTTCCGTTTGCTTCTGGTGGTGCTGGGGTTTGAACTGCCTGAGGTACTCTACTAGCTCTTTCAGCGTTAGTGCTCTTGAGATAGGTATCCCCTTATGTCCAGATCCATTTGGAGTGTGATCCTCCAATTTGTACTTCCCTTTGTCATTGGAATGGTAGACATGCATTACTGTCTTCAGCCATTGTACATCCCCTGTAGCTTGGCGTGACAGGCATGAGCCACTGTGTCCAGCAAGGAGTTGAGATGGTGTCTCGTAAACTTTAATGCCTGGGCTTGCCTTGAACCATGACCCCCCTAGCTCCACCCCCTCCATCATCATGTTTATACTGCTTCTCACATCTGTTGCTTTTGGTCCCTACCACTGCACTCTCCTTGTAGAGCAACCGCCCTGCTCGGTATCTCCTGAAAATGTCAGATTGAACTGACCTGCCCCACCTCAAGTCTGCTTTCCTACGAGACTTCATCCACTTGGAAAAGAATTAGTGCTCACATCCATGTGGCTCCTTAAACCAGGAAACTTTGGAAATCTGGTGTGGCCAGGAGGTATCTGTCCATTGACAGCTAGCTGCCTTTCCTGACCCATATCCTGACCTTGGCCATTCACTGTGGAAAACTCTTGGCACCTAACACAGAAAGTAAGTCAGCCTCTCTCTTTGTCTCTGCCTGCCTGCCTG